TGCCTGGGCAGGTTGGCTCCCCACCCCCCCGTCCCAGCGGGGCTTGGAGGTCCGTGTCCTCTCCTTCCAAGCTGCGCTGGAGGGGAATGGCGTGGCCTGCTTGGGAGCCAGGGAAAGGGCTCTGGAAGAGCCCTGCCCTGCCAAAGCCCTTCTGGGCTGCACAGACCAAAGCCCAGGATCAGCGTGTGCACGTCGTCCTCCTTTAGTTTTTGTTTCAATCTTTTAGCCCCAACCCAGGGTTCAGTCCTTCAGGAAAGCTCTGTAGCTCAGTGAAGGAATGGCTGAAAGCAGCTGGAAATAACAGGAGCTTTTTCACTGTGCCGTAGTGACTAATCCCGCTGGCTGTGTCCCCCTCCTCTCTGTGCACACATCCACTCGCAGGGGAGTCAGTGCCTTCGTTTCGGTAGCTCTGCTGCATTTCTGAGTCACGGAGGCATTTGTGTCATTTATCGGCTTTATTCCTGCAGGAGCCTTCAAGACAATCCGATCTGCTTACCAGACATCCAGCAATGCCAGCAGCCTCGTCGCCGGCGCCTCCGGGCTGCTGGCCGAGTCCCGGGAGAGCCGCAGGAGTGCGGTGGAGCTGGAGGGGGAGCTTGTGGTGTCCACCTCCAAGCTGCTGACCCTGAAGGGCGAGATAGCCTCCTCTCCCAACCTGACCCCCGTCATAAACAAGGTGAAGAGACACGGTGGCTTTATGACTTCCCCACTGCGCACATCCAGTTTTATAGAATCATCGAATGTTTTGGGCTGGAAGGAACCCCTAGAGGTCACCCAGCCCAACCCCCATGGAGGGCCCTGTAGTGCTCAGGAGGCAGAAGCCTCATCCTGTGGTCACGCGTCTTTCCTCAAACACTCCAGCACGGCACGAGACAAAGTCTCTGTCCGGAGAGGCTCACAGATGGCATCCAAGCAACTCGCTGCTTTGGGACATCAGAGGAGAATTCTCTGAGCATCCCTTGCCTGGGGATCCCAGATACCGAAGCATTGCCCGCCGCCCCCTCCCAAGCATGCGCTTTTTCCTCCAAGGACCATCTCCTGTGTCCGTTCTTGTATCTCAAAGACCCACTTAATTTCGGGATTAGGTTTCTTTCATTTCTCCTTGGCTGCTTTGTTATTGCCATGGAGATCCATTTCGGTGTCTCCTAATGCACGGTTGCTGTGGAGACCACCAACCTCCCCTCTCTGCTTTTCAGGGCAGCAACACATTCCCTAAGCCACCAGCCTGTGCTGGTGCTTGCGCTGGCTCTGGGTTTGCGTGTGCCCCTGCTGCAATGCTCTCGGTGGCGGGTGGTAACTCTACGAGTTGCTGTGCAATTAAAACCACTGATGTCCGGACAAGAGGGCAGGGTCTTCTCGTCCCGTTCTCTCTCCCAAAGCAAATTGCATGGGTTGGCCATTGGCTTCCCCTGCCACGAGGGGGAGAGTTGCTGTCCTGAGAGCAGACGAGACGGATGCTCCATACGGACATGCTCTGCTACTCTTTGTGAGCCGCTGGGGCTCAGCTCCCGCTTTGCTCTCGTTTGTGCTCCAGCTTGGGGTGGTGGGGAGATGCAAACCTTGCGCTGCAGTCTCAGGCGTGGGCGTTCAGCGCTGTCGTACGCCTGTGTAGCTCTGGCTGCCCTTCTCCAACACAGTCATGGCCTCTGGTCATTTGGGCTGTGCTGCATGTGTCGCCCCCAACCCCGCCGGGAGGGCTGGCTCCCTCCCTTTGCCGTGCAGAGCCCTGCTGCATGAGCACCGCGAGTTCCCTTGGTGTGGGTTTGTCGGAACTCTGGCCCCTGTGGTGTGCTGGTGTTTGGTTTGCCTCCCC